ATTTACCTGAACAATTACGGAGGTGATTTCCTAAGCTTTCTACTTCTGTGACCTGACTGCCACTGGGAGGAGTTATCTGAGATCCCTGGCAGACTTCTAAGTCTGCCTTCTTGACTCCATTGAGGTCAACATTTCCCAGAAGCCTCCTTGCCTTCTCTTCTATTCTGTAGCCGCAGAGTAGAATTTCCCTGTAATTTAAGACTTTGTAAAGTGCTTTCACATGATTCTTCAGCTTCTTGAGACCTGTACAACTCTACTGTGCTGGAGATGCCAGGGAAGGGCTTTAGTGGGGGCAGGAGCAAGAGACATGGGTAATTGCAGGGCATATTCCTTAAGGGTCAGTGTTATTTGATGATGTACTGGCCTGCCAGGGCTACTGTAACAAAGTGCAACAGACTGGGTGGCTTAAATGACAGAAATTTATCTCACAGTTCTGAGACTACAGTGTGACAGCAAAGTGTCAGCAGGGCTGGGTCCTTGGCAGGCTGTGGGAAGATTCTGTTCGGGCCTCTCTGCTGGCTGCTGGTGTCTCCAGTGTCTCAGCTCATAATTGCACTAGCTGGATCTCTGTCTTAATTTCCACGTGGCAGTCTTCCTTGAGAGCTAGCTCTGAGTCCAACTTTCCTCTTTTCATAAAGGCCCCAGTGCCTTTGGGTTAAGGACCATCCTAATAATCTCATCTTCATTCAACTACATCTGTCAACACCTTATTTCCAAATGGCACGTTCTGAAGTACTGGGGTTAGGACTTCCACATATCTGTTTGGAAGACTACAATTCAACCCATAGCAGACATAAGGAGCTAAAATGGTCTTTTACACTTAGCCTTTTATGTATGATGGAGTTGAACACAAGCTTCACGTGGACTTCTAAAGGTATCCATGAGGTGTGGCAGGAGAACCTAACTTTGGGCAGACCCCCACTCCTTCTACGATGTCCTCCTACATCCTCTGCCCTTGGGGGGCTGAGGGGTAATGCAAGGCAGCTTTTTTTGCCTATAGAACATTTTGATTGGAAAAGTTTAGATGGCCTCACAGCTGGGAGCTACTGTAAGGAGGAACTGAGGCTGGAAGATGGAGCCAAATGGTTCCAACAAAAGATAGATTCTTCTTTATTTTTCTTGATCAAAGCAATCAACAAAACGCAGCTGTAAGCTTCCAGGAGCTGATCACATTTAACATCTTTGTCCTTTCACATTCCCTCACTGTCAAATGGCGACCCCATGGAGTATTAAGAAAACCAAGACTGTATAATGCAGGTGACACCCAAGCTGTAACCTGTTTATCCTTTGGACCCCTGGCCCCATTGCACTATTTATTTGGAGGGCCACAGATGTGCTTACCAGACGCCACCACCAAAAGGCTCCTCTCAGTCATGTCCCTTGAGCACCCCAGTGGTAGCTCTGCAGACCAGAGAGCCAGCACAGCTGGAGCTGGTCCACACCTCTGACCACGTTTACAATCACAGCTGATAAGACCACTTTGTTGCTAGCACACACTTTCCCTTTCAAGTTCTTGTTCACTGTTAAAGCTACTTTCCACAGTGTTCACTGAGCCGTGTGCACGGTGAGGTGCTATGGTCTGAACGTGTTTTATCCCTTCCAAAACACATGCTTTAGTTTAATTCCCATTGTGAGGTAGTAAGAGGGTGGGAACTTAATCAACCATGCCTCTTAGAGGTGGGGCCTTTGGGGGTGATTAGCATATAAGGTCACCAGGGTGAAGACCCCATGATCCAATTGCAAAGAAACAATTTTTTTCCTCCTAGAACAGGCATTGAGGGCTCTGACTGCCCTCTCATGGCTCCTTCTGGAACTGCATGGGGGAAAGAACTGCTAGATTTAAATTGAAGTCACCTGTACATCAAGCAGCCAGGACATCACTCTCAAAACAGTTCTGCAAGCCTTTTTGGCCCTTCCCTGTCTTAATTTCTGTGTTGTCTTAATAAGGGCCCCTTGTTGGAGTCCTGTTGCATTGTGAAGGTCTCCATGTCCTAGGCTGTAGCATTCCGGGTTCCACAACCTGGTGGAAGACAGCAGGGACACTTGGGTCTCTGAGAGCTCAGGACCCTGGCCTCCTTTCCCAGCCCATGGTCTTCAGATGCCCTTGCCCTTAAAACAATGCTTGCAAACCCACATTCCCCCTTACAGTTACTTATTTTTGTCTTAGAAATATTTTTCCTCGTAGGTTTGCTTGGTTACAAAGTGTGCTGTGGATAGTAGCACAGCACTCAGCAGAATCCAAATGCAACAGCCGTTCCCATCTACCACCATCCTTTTAAAAGCACACCAGGCCCTTCCTTTATTCTTGCATTCCCATCCCATAAAAAGTAGCTACTATGAGATGTGCTTTTATCCTTGAAAGTCTTTTATTGATGGCCACAGATTGAATAACCCATACTTGATGGGAAGGAAAAGATGCTGGAGTGAGTGGGGGACACCATGGGGAAGGAAAGGTAGGGTGGCCTGAGGGGTGGTGTCGGAGGTCGGAGGGTGGGTGAGAGGAGCAAGCCTGGATATGTCAGGGGGCTCCTTGCTATTGCTCTCAATCATGACAAGGAGATGAAGGTGTTGATTACACTGATTAGATCAGTAATATCACATATATGTACTGAAATACCACACTATACCCCATAAATACATACAATTATTACATGTTTACAAATTTAATTACCCAGATTTGATCATTATACACTCTATAACGTATCAAATTATGACACAGTACCCCATACATTTGTATCATTCAAATAATAATTTAAAAATTCCATGCTTGCTTTGTAACCCTTCAGGAATGTCTGTCACCACATGGGACAGTGCTATGGAGGGAAGTGAAGAGTGACAAAGTAAAATACAAATATAGGGATAAATCTCTGAATATAAAAGTTTTATTTGGGAATAATATAAAAATTAGGAGTGAAATCTAGGACACATGGCCTCCAATACATCTGGAGAATAAGAGAAAAGGGTCATTTTACTGGGGAAAGAGATAATTATTATGCAGGTTGTCTGGTGAGTATGGCAGGTGCTAGGAAGAACTTGTCTTCGTCACAGCAGGTGGTCCAGTTGCACTGGGTTTGTGAGAGTCTCTGGGGCAGGTGTTTGCTACCTGAGTCTATTCCCAGTGCCTTCTGGGCTCTCTGGTTAGGTGTGACAGGAATGACTCCAATTTAACAGTCAATTTTCCCAAGGGCACCGGGGAAGAAAGCTGCCCTGTACCGTCCCTCCTCGGAATCCTCCTATTTATGCTGTAGCTAACTTGGCACAGACATAGTGAGACAGCTAAAGTGACCAACTCTTCCAGGTGCATTTGTTACACACCGTGAAGCATTGCTACCACTTGTCATAGGTCTTTATGGTAAGCACCCCCTTTTTTGTGGTACTGGGGCTTGAACTCAGGGCCTTCACCTTGAGTCACTCCACTCCCCTTTTACTGTGATGGGTTTTTTTCGAGATAGGGTCTTGTGAACTATTTGCCTGGGCTTGGTTCAAACTGAGATCTTCCTGATCTCTTGCCTCTTGAGTAGCTAGGATTACAGGTGTGAGCCTCTAGCACCAGTCTGCTTTTCTTGTAAATAAGCTTAGAAGTTGGTGGCTTAGGTGATGTGACTCCCTGATTGACAGTTGTAGACCCTTGAGCAGAGGACTGACTGACAAGTTGCCCTTGTGCCAGCCCACCTGCTTTGATGCTCCTTGGATGCCTTGAGGAAGCTGCACAGCAACCACAGCTACTTGCTGCCAAAGCACAACTGTTTCCAGAAGGCACCACCCCGGCCGTGACTGTTTCAAATAGCTTGTTGCCAGGCTTCTTGGCATCACAAGTATCCAACTCTAGAAGCTATTTTCACCCAGGCCCGGGGGCGGGGTACTTCCTCTGGTGGCCCAGAAGAAGGCCTGTGACGGGTGCAAATATGCTTCTTCAGTTGCATGAAGGACTGCTGTGATTGGTGCAAACACCCTTGTCACACTCCTCTCTGACTACACAAACAGGCTGTTCGACCCCCTTTAAGTCATGCAGGAGGTGCCACCCTGGTGTTGCAACATTAGGCACAATAAGAGACTTCTCTCCAGTGATCTTTTCTTGCCTACTTTCGATCTTTATCATTAGCAGAGTGGTCAGACTGGTGACATGAAAAGGAGGCAGCAGAAGTGGCTGCAGCTGCTGAGACCGAGGTTGGGAAGCTGGCTCACAAGTCCATTTGGGTTGTGGCAGAAGCCAGTGTCTGGTAGGCGTAGGACTGAGGCCCCTGTTTGCTGGTTGTTGGTTAGTTGTTCTAAACTTCTAGCAGCTACTGTACTTCATGCTCAGTCTTCCTGCCTCCATCTTCAAAGCCAGCATTTTGCCTGCTTTCCAGTTTTTGCTTTTTTTTTACTGATATTTGAACTCAGGGCCTTGTGCTTTCCTGGCAGTCACTCTACCACTTGAGCCATGCCCCAGCCCTTTTTGCTTTAGTTATTTTTGGAATAGGATCTTGCTTTTTCCCCAAGCTACCCTGAACTGTAATCCTCCTATTTATGCTTCCCATGTAGCTGAGATTCCGGCTTGGGGCACCACACCCAAAGGATCTTGCTCACTTTTTTTTTCTTTTTGCCTCGGTCGACCTTCAACCTTAATCCTCCAGATCGCCACCTCTTGAGTAGCTAGGATTGTAGGCACGAGCCGCTGCGTCTGGCTGTCTGGCTCGCTGACCCTTGCCTTCCTTGTCCTTTTCTAAGGACTCACTTGAGTAATCCAGGATAATTTCCCTGTTTTAAGTTTACCTACTTGTTGTTTTGAGACAGGATCTAGCTATGTATTCCAGACTGGTTTTGAATCAGCCTCTGGAGTGCCGGGATTACAGACACACACTACCACACCTGGCAACAAAGTAATCTTAGTCCCATCTGCAGTCTTTTCACAGCAGTACTTAAATTCAAACACTGCGATCTTTAGAATTCAGCCACAATGATAATCAGCACTTTGCCAGTCTTCTGTAATTAGGAGTTTTTGTTTTGTAGCAATTAAAAAAAAAAAACAGCTTTATTAAGATACAATCCATATGCCATGTAACTCACCTGGCTGAAGTGCAGGGCTGTGGGTCTGGTTCAAGTATTAGAGTGCCTGCCTAGGAAGTGCCAGGCCCTAAATTCAAACCCTAGTCCTGCCAAAGGGAAAAAAAGAAGTGTACATACAATCTTGTCATTCCGAAAAGATAGAGGAAGATTTTCTTTTTAACAAAAACATTTTTTATTTTCTCCACTAATATCTGTACAGGTGTAAACTCAAGGAATCATTCAGTACTCATATAAATCTGGGGACAGTTAATAAGCACCTTCAGTGGTTTCCACAGTTTGAGGATTTACCATGTAAAATATTTTAGAGTGAGTCTAGTAAAATGAATGAAATAGTTATAGAAATTATACATCATGATGAACGCCTGATATACAGGGCTAGATATGGAACAATAAATGCAAACACAAAGTGAGATTAATTTGTGGGGTGAGCTGCATGTAAGACCACGTGCTCCCCAAATCTAGTGACGCCTCAAATCATTTAAGGAAACCTCCCTCCCAGTTCAGGCTCTCAGGACAAAAGGAAGCAGGTGAGGAGAGGCAGAAGGGGCTGGGGTAGGAGACTGAGTGTGTTGGGGCTAGAAGAAAAGGGGGCTCTCTTCCCCACAGAGAATATAAGGTAAATTCATCCAGGTCCTCCAGGATAAGCTTTCTTTGGCAAAAAGCACTAGTTTCTTTCAGGAGTTATTTAAAGGTTTTTGCTTACATCCTCTCCTGTCTCTCTTCTTGGGCTTTCTATTCGTGCTGTCCACCAATCTCTTCCCAGCCTTTCTCCACTCCCTTCTCCTCCTGTTTCACTGACTCAAACTTGCCAAGCTCAACTTTCAGCCCAAAGTTTCTATTCTTTTAGGGACCCAGAAAGCAGTTAAGAAAAAGATAACACTAGGTACTCTGTGGTCAGGGGATGTTTTTTAAATGAATTCTAGAAAGAATTATCAACATGAAATACCACTATGGTCCCTTGAGTGAGAGCAATGAGCAGTTTCAAAGGTCAGGCCATTTGTGGAAACATTCAGACATTCCTAGATTGTCTTTGGAGGAGAATACAGCCAGCAAGAGCCACAGCTAAAGGGAGCCACAAAGCAGCAAGTTCATGGCTGAGAGTAAACTGGTTCTCAGGAGTAGAGGTCAGAGGTGACAAGACATGGTGGGGCCATCACCTGGGCCAGCCGTAGGCCTGGGTCTCACACGGTCTCCAGGAGGATGCTGAACACTGGAACTAACAGTGGATGAAGGACAGGACTAGACAGCGGATGCTGAAATGCAGGTGCTTTGGGCAAACAGGAATAATTTGGTAATTTTGGTATAACTTAAGGCACATCAAAATAATCCCCTACTCTTGAATACCTTACTCTACATCTTAAAATTCCTACTACAGGGCACCTTTGACAACCAAAGGCCACTGCTGAAATGCCAGGATGTTATCTGAGGGGAAATCCACGTCCCTCCATCAAGGTGGGTTTTGGTCAAAGGACTGAGTTTAGCAGGACCAAGGTAGAAAGGAGCTGGGAGCATACAGGGAAGTCAGAGCACCAGGAGAAAAGGCATGGGAGGGCAATTTTCTCCTTCACTTGCAACCATGCCCAGCCAGGCCCTGGCTGGGGTGCTGAGGAGCTGGCAGGCTGGCGAGTACTTCGGTAAAGGCTGAGCTTGTAAGGCCACAGGGATGGAGCCACTCAGGCCCGTGGAAGGTCTGCTCACCCCACCCCGGGGGGCTAGGATTGGGAAAAGGTCCTGGGATGCTGGGATGGAGCACATAATTCCTACCCCAGACTAAGTGTGTCTGATGATTGGGGCCAGGGTGGGTAGCCCTGTCCTCAGGTAGTGGTAGAGACTTTCCCATTACAGAGGTGAGGATGTATATCTTAGGGGAAAAGGAGGGGAAAGTTGTTTGGGCCCAGGCAGGGCTGGACCTGGGCCTAGTGGTCACTCAGCTTCAGGACAGTTTTCAGTCCGGACCAAGCAGTTTCAAGCACAGCATTACTGTGAAATACTTGGCGAGGAAACAAGGCTCTCTAGTCTTCATTTCCGCTCCATGCAGTCAACTCCTAGGGTGTTGTCAGGGCAGCGGCAGGTCCTGCTCCCTGGGGTCGCCAAGCAGAGGTGGGTACAGCCACCATTGTTCACTGAGCAGTAGTTGTGGCCTGGAAAAGGCAGGAATCAGTCCCACAGCCTCCTCTGTGACCCAAGTCAACAGTCTTCTAGAGAGGGACCTCCTTAGTAACCCCCTTTGGCTTTCCATGGGGGCAAGTCCGTGAGGGGTCCAGGGCAACAGGGATGCTGTGCCGGGCACTCGCTAAGCTGAGAAGTTTGCTTCTGTATCCCTGAACCAGCCGGGCAGAAACAGCGATTCCCCAGAGGAGGGCTGTGCAGCCAGCACGGAAGCCTTCGCAGAGATCTCAGGCAGAAGGTACCCTTCATCTCTCCCACGCCTGGGCCTCACAATGGCGGGGTGACGAGGGAAGCCGAGAAGGAAGGGGCTTAGGAGTGAGGCCTTCAGCACAGCGCAGGCCTGTAGCCAGGTTGCCCACAGCTGTGTGACTGGGCACCCTGCTGCACAGGGATGCTGTGGAGACTAAATGGGTAATGAACAAGCCACTTCCAGCTCTAAGAGAGCGCCTAGCTCACGGTCAGCGTCAAGTGCCTGTCTGCAACTCTGCTTGTATCAGTGCTGGGGATTGAACTCGAGGCCTTGAGCTCGCTAGACAAGCACTTTACCGTTTGAGTCACGCCCCAGAGCTGTTGTTTTTTTATTTTGTTTTTGATATGGGGTCTCATTAACTTTGACTGGACTCAGACTCTGCTCTTCCTATTTCCACCGCTGGAGCAGGTGGCCTATGTGCCACTGTGCCCGGCTCTCTTCTTCTTACTCATGTTGCCATCAGGCCAAATGGATCAATGATTAAGGCAGTAGAGACCCTAACATAAGCTCCTGTCTGGGGGCTGGCATGGTGGCATAAGCCTGTAAAACCAGCACTAAGGAGGCTGAGGCAGGAGGATCACAAACCCGAGCCCAGAGTGCAGTACACAGCTAGACCCTGTCTCAAAAAACAAAACCAAAAACTTCCTGTTTATTATCTGAAGGCGGGACGCTTTGAGACCAGCCCAAGACTCAAGACTTCCTTACTACATCTGGTTTATGCTTTGTTTTCCATTGGTATATCTGGCTCAGCTCTCAGTAACAGTGGAAGGGCAGTGGTCAGGACTACTAGCACAGTGTGGGCTCTGGACCCCAGGACGTCCCCCAGTGTCCCCCCGCCCCCGCCCATAGCAGCAGCACAGGTGAGTTACCTTGGGGACACTGCGACAGGGCCGTGGTGATGCCATACAGCCGGGTCTGCTTGTGGGGATGGAAGGTATCCGTCTCCTTGGGAATGGCAAGGTCAGCAGCAATCACAGAATTCCTGCAAAAGGGCAAAGGGCAAAAGTACATCTGGTGCTCCCACTATTCACAACACAGCAGCCCTTTCTGCAGCTTGGGGATGAACCGGGAGCCAGAAACAGACATGGTGGCCTCGCTCCCTCCTCCTGGAGTGGGCCAAGCCTGCAGGGTAGGGGCTCCTGAAAGAGCCAAGATCAGCCAGCTCCTCTCTTCTACCTAGACAGGACTTGGCTTCCTTGAGGACGCCCTGGACAGCTGCCTGCTTGGGACGAGCCTCCTCTTACAGAAAGGGCTGCTGAAGACGAGGCTGTAGGAATGCATTTTAGTTTAAAAACTGCAGTGAGGCAGGGGAATCAGCATGGAGCCCACCAGCCAAGTGATCCCTGGTCACCTTCCAGGGAGAAGATGCCCTAGTTACAGACCTGGAAGTGCCCAGCCAGGACCATCATGACAAATGGCACCTTCTGCTCCCCTCAGTGCTCCCCCCGCCCCCACAAGCCCATATCCTGACAACCAGAGGGTGAGGGGCCATCTCTGAAGACTTGAAGGTTAAGACAAGAGGGCAGAAGGGAAGGGCCTGGGCTCCCAGAGACAGCAGGGGGGGGGACGACGACGACAGGGGGGAGGGGGGAGACACACACGTAGGCCCTCCCACCCCCAAGGCATAGACGACATACATCTTCCAGTCTGTGTAGTACAGATTCCTCCCATAGCTTGTCACAGCAAAAGGATACTGGAGTCCTTCAAGAACCTTTCGACTGCTGGGCTGACCCGGGTTCAGGCATTCCGCCCGATGGGTGCCTGTGTGCGGCAAAAACAAGTTGTTCATTGTTCACTCAAGAAATGGGTCCTTTGTGTGCCACTGCACAAGAAAGGAGGAAGGGCAGGAGATCTCAGCACTGCAGTGACAAGTCTCAAACCCTGACAAGCTCTCTCTTCCTTCTGTCTAGCCACCTTCATCAGCCTACGTCCACCCTGTGTTCTGGTGACTACACCTGGTCCTGCTGGGGAGATGTGATCCAGGGCAGAGGAGTCACACCCTCCTTTCTCTGAGCTCTTGTGCAAGTCCCTCCTCCCTGAGCCTCCCCAGGCCCTTCCTCCCTGGAGCCAGGGTGATAAGAACTGCTGCCTGCTGGCAGCTGTGCAGCCTGTCATTGAGGCCTGTGTGCAGACTGTCTACCTCATCGTCTCTCATAGTGTCTAGTACAGAGAAGGGACTCTACAGAGATGTTTACAGAGGGAGATGGGAGCTCTTCCCACATCCAAGCCTTGGGGACACCCCACATCTGCCAAGGCAGGGTACACAGGTAGTATCTTCCTGGGCTCAAAGTCCTGTCTAAGCCCCTGGGGACAAAAGGGAGCTATGGGAAAATAGGATGTGAACAACTCAACAAGTGTCGGCATGAACACAGGCTTCCTGCACTGTCACTTGGAATAGGGCTCAGTCAACTCTTTCTTAAAGGACCAGACAGTGATCATCTCAGGTTTTGTGGGCCAAGAGACAAAACCAAGAGATGGGGATTGGCAGAATAACTCAAGTGGTAGAGTGCCTGCCTAGCAAGTGTGAGGCCCTGAGTTCAAACCCCAGTATTGCCAAAACAAAACAAAAGAAAAAAAAACCACGAAGATGGTATTCAGCTATTTCTATAACACTAAAATGTAACATTTTACGATGTAAAAGCCATTTGGAGCTTCCAGGTTAAACAAAACCCAGGCAGCTGGGTAGGTCTGACCCAAGGTTTGTAGTCTGCCTCCTCCTGACTAAGATGAAGAATTCTTCCAGGGCAGTGTCAAGCTTCCTGTCACCTGCATCCACCCAGCAGAGCTGGGACGAGAACGCATCAAAGGTCAGGCCATTGGGCAGGCCCAGGTTGTCCTGTGCAAGAATCCTTCGGTTGGTGCCATCCATGTAGGAAGTTTCAATTTTGGGGTTATCTCTGTTCCAATCTGTCCAATAAAGGTTCCTGGAGGAGGAAAAGGAGGGGAAAGAGGAAGAGAAATACTGAAAAGTTTATGAAAAACACTTTAAAAGAATCCATGGCGAGGTGACAAGAGACAGGAAAACACAGCTAATCAGGATCCAGAGGTGGTAGGATGAATTTTCTTTTGCAAGCACCCCCTTTGGTTTAGTACCTCACGCAAATGTGATTATTCTGTTACTAATAAAGTCAGTTCCCTTTACTATAACTGATGTATCTCTCAAAAGCTGTTGACAAAATTAACAAAACTCGGTAAGTGATAAAAAGACACTAATTCTCTGTACATTGCCATCACACAAGAGGACATGGCAGACCCAGGGGGCTGGACAAAGTAAGACATGATGCTGGCCGAGGCAGTGATCAAGGTCCCTGCTGCCCAGGGGGTGAATGAGTGGCCCTGGCACAAAGGAATGTGGTCTCAAAGTGACCGAATCTGTGTCTAGAACCAGGGCCTGGGGTGTGAAGGGGGAGAGCACAGTCGTGGGTAGAAGAAACCCATAGTAAGGCAGCTCCACGATATTCACAGTAGGTCTACTACAAGAAGGAGCCCTGGGGTGCAGTTAGGCCACCCCAACACTCTTATGGGGTTCACATGACTCCATGTTGAACCACATTCCCCAATACTCTGAGGGATACAGTAGCTCAAGCTATAATCCTAGGGACTCGGAGGCAGAGATTAGGAGGATTGTGGTTTAAGGCCCACCCAGGCAAAAACTTCATGAGACCCCCATCTCAACCAATACTTAGGTATGGTGGCTTACACCTATAATCCCAGCTACATGGGAAGCATAAATAGGGGAACCGAGACCCAGGCTGGCCCAGGCATAAAGCCAGACCCTATCTCAAAAATAACCAAATCAAAAAGCATAAGGCCCTGAGTTCAAACCCCAGTACTGGACTGGAGGTGTGGTTCAAGCAGTAGAGTACCTGTTTTGCAAATGTGAAGCTCTGAGTTCAAACCCCATGTACCACCAAAACAAAACAAAGCAACATGGCAGTTTGCCCACACTGCAGTAAGAGTGCTGGTACTTCACCAGTTTGAAGGGTACCTACGAGTCACCGAATGCAGATTTTTCACCCTGTACTTATTGGTCTCAGGAAGAGGGCAAGCTGGACTTCGAACCGTGCATCTGAGAGCGCCAAAAGGACCAGACGCAAACACAACAGATGAACACACGTGTTCACACAGAAATACCCTCTCACGGAGTCAGTGACAATGCCTCTGGGATTCACCAAATCCGTCTCAAACAGCACCCGGCGCTGTGTGCCATCCAGCTTTGCTACTTCGATCCGATCCAGGTGTGAATCCGTCCAGAAGATGTTGCGGCCGAGGTGGTCAAGGGCAATGCCTTCTGGGCTCCCGAGGTCTAGACCAGGCACAGAGAGACTCAGATTGGTCCTGCTAAGCAGGTGAGATCAGACATTTCTCTTTTCTGTTTTTCACTGTGCTAAGGATTGGATGCAGAGCCTCATGCCAGTTCAGCAAGCGCTCTACCACTGAGCCCCAAAGACGAGACTTCCCTGATTACTCAGTGCTACTTCACATAGTGTCAAACCTTGCAGTCTGTGAAGCCCAGTGGGAATGCTTGGTGTTTACGAGACAACGATAACTCAAAATGCTACTCACTCATGCCTCGTTCATCTGTTGTGCCCAGGCTTGTCCCAGTGACTAAGCTGTGGCCCTGGCCTGAGCATCAAGAAGCCCTCACAATGCTTGCCTCACACGCACAAGCCCTGGGTTCATTCTCCAGCCAATCACAATTCAGACTGAGGTCCAGGTTCTCTGGGCACCTGGACGATTGACACTGGACCAGTCTTCGAGACCAAGGAAGGATTCCTGGGGGAGGGGCCCACCTCTGCAGCTGGTTCCTGAAGGACCACTGGGAGTCCATGAGGCACATGGCCCAGATAAAGGTTTAGGTAGCTGGGCCAGCACGAAAGTATAAAGGAAGACAGGACCTGGCTTGAAGTGAACTGAGTACCATTTCATATGGCTGAGACTGTGAAGGTGGGGGAGTGGCCAGGGATGAAGTAACAGTGCAGAGCTGAGAGAGTGGCACTTTTCTCCCAGGCACAGGAGAGGCATGGAAGACCTTCAGACAGAACGACAGCTCTTCCTTCATCCTTGTTACTGGGGGAGGGCATCTCAGGGATGCATTTTCAAGGAAGCATAGATGTTATTACCTTATGCAAGTGTAAGGGGGAAAGAAGAAGGGGTGGCAGTGGTTACAAGTAACACTCCACTGTCTTTACTGGTATGGCCAGGGATTGGCACTGGTAACGGGAGCTCCAATATGAGCCCCCAGCACCCATCTAACTTCTTCCAAAGCTCCAGATTTCAATGGCTTTCTGACTATAAATTTTAAAAACTTTAAAATGACATCGTGATACTTATTGGTGTCACTTGGGATTCCTCCCCTTACTGCTGAGAGGATGGAAAGCCATTGAACTTGAGTGGAGTGTAAGCAGGAAGAGGAAGAGGACTCCCTGGCCGAGGGATGTGGGGTATGAGAAAATGACCCTATCCTATGTTCTCCCTCCATATGTGGTGAGTCAGTCCTTTGGCCTCTTCATGTTGGTGTTTGTTAGCCTCCAAGCCCATCATGGAAACACTACCACCCTGCACAGGAGCCCAGCAGAGGAAGGCGATGAGAACCAGAATCCACACGTGAATCTGCTCTTCATTATTTAGACCCAAAATAGAGCTTAAGAAAGCATTAAGGGCGCAGTGGCTCACGCCTATAATCCTGGCTACTAAGAGGCAGTGCTCAGAGGATCACCAGTTCAAAGCCAGCCTGGGCAAATAGCTCATGAGACCCTATCTCGAAAAGACCCATCACAAAACAGGACTGGCAGAGTGGCTTAAGTGGTGGAACGCCTGCCTGGCAAGTGTGAGGCCCTGAGTTCAAACTCCAGTATGGAAAAAAAAAAAAAAAAAACGAAAAACAAGCAAGCATTAAAATCTGCCCCTCATCCCCGAGGCCCTAGTCTACTTTGGGACATACCTGCACTGAGCACATCCTGTGTGACATGAGCTACTCAGACACACAGACAGGAGGGAAAGGCTGCTTAGTGAATGTCCCCAGTACTTGGTAGAATCCTGCAGGAGTCCCGTGTCATATTGTCTCCTCAGAAACAGCCCTGGTCCTGATCTTAAAATCAAGAGCCACCAAGCCCCTTGTCCCCAGTCAGTTAAATTCTGCTCTGTGGGCTGCCCTTCCAAAGGAAAGACCTGGAAACCTCAGCCCTCATTGTGCAGAGGAAGAGAGCAGATAGCAAGGTGACTGGCTATTCTACACTGCTGTGTCAAAAAGAAATCGATTATCATATAGATCAAAGGTTGGGACTCGAACACATGGAAGGAAGAGAAGCCCAAGAGTACGAGTGTATGAAAGAAACCTGGAGAAGATCACAGTCCCACTTCCACCACCTGCCTCCCCGGGGAAGGCCCAAGGCCCAACCTGTACACACTCAGGAGTTCGCTAGAAGCGTCTCCCCCTCTTTCTGAAACTTATTCCTGGTGATTTTTTGTCTACAAAGATCACGTTTTCATTTAATTCAGTGTCAGTCAGCAGGCTTCTGCATGGAATGCTTCTTGCTGTGCTTAAAGTGCTCTCGGGTGAGCATCAGTTCCAAAAGCAACAGGAAATAGCAAACCGTGACCTACCCCCTTCCCCTGGGTTTTGAAACCGAATCACAGGTCATAGCCACATTTTCCACAGAGAGAAATAAGAGGCAAAAAGGCATTTTTCAGACTTCGCTCACTAAGCCTAAGCTTGGAGACTAGCAAACGTCATTTAAACGGTCCGTCCACTTCCAGAAGACAGCTCAGGGTCTAAGTGCAAGGCCAGCCACTTTAATTCAGCCCAATTCCTGCTAAGGGTCTCTACGGAAGGAGCCAAGGAAGGAGACCAATGCCCTAGGAGCGATCTCACAGGCACAAGGATCCTTCCAGAAAAACAGCTGTTAGAGGAATGTTAAACTGGAAATTGAAAAAGCTACATTCAGTCCCACGTAAAAAGAAACACAAAATAAGGCTTCTATTTGATATATCCAAATCATCTTATAATTTGAGTGCTTTATAAAGGAAGCAAGAGGACTTCTTACAACAAATATCAGCATAACAATGTCTTTTGAGCAAAAATTCCCAAGTTAGGTTAGTTATGAGTCAGACTGAATCAACGTGTGATTTTTTTTTTTTTTTTTTTTTTTTGGTAGGACTAGGGTTTGAACTCAGGGCTTCATACTTGCAAAGCAGGTGCTCTACCACTTGAGCTAGGCCTCCCGTCCATTTTGCTCTTATAATTTTGGAGATGAGGCCTTGCAAACTACTTCCTGGGCTGGCCTCCAACTGTGAACCTCCCAATCTTAGCCTCTCCAGTAACTAGGATTGCAGGTGTGAGCCACTGGTGCCTGCCTAACACTTGATTCTTGACCATTTCATCACAAGGGGATTTTTACAGGTCCTGGGATTTTTTTGCTCTAATGCTGTTTCATCAAGATAAAACATATCCATGTAAAATGGTCTCATTTGTTGCGTGGAGACATTGAAATAATGCATTTAGTCCTTGGGCTCACAATGGCATCCTTATTTTAAGGTTAAATGAGTTTAAATGCTGACGTTAGGCTGTGCCAAAGCAGTGAGCGCTTTATCATCAGTAATGCGACCTAAACTCAGAACAGTCTGCAGAGGTCGGTCCTGGCTGGCTGCAGTCCTCCGGCCTAGGCCAGCCAAGCAAGTATCGAGGGGTGGGTAGAGAAGGGGACGCTGTCCTCCCAGCATGTAACAGGTTGACGTGATGGCCCTTGAACTCAACAGGTGTCTTGGGAACAGGCTCCCTGTTCAGGACACTGACCATATTATGCTTGTGACCCTCCTGACTTTAGGATCCATCCGCCTGCAGCCTTTGGGAAAACGTCCTGGAGCCCACCGTGGAGCAGACTCTGAATCAATGGCCAGCGGGAGCCATGGCTATCAAAAGTGGATGGTGAGCTTGGCCTTCGTGGTTCAGAGAGATGGACTACATGCGCCTCAGAAAGGCACAGGGGATGTCCTGATTTAGGGGTGAGTGCCTGGACGACATGTCAGAGGAGGTGGTGCTCTGAAGCAGAGACCTCAGCCACACCCTGTGAACAATCACACACCCCACACGCCACCTCCCCCCGAAAGCCACTAGGGCTGCTCGGAGCTGAACTAGCGTGTGTGCCTACCTTGTCGAATGATGGTGGTTGGCTCTCCTCCATGCAGGCTGGCTCTCCCAATGGAAGGTTCGCTGATGTCCGTCCAGTAAACCACCTTGTCCACACAGTCAAAGGCCAGTCCAATGATGACTTTCGCCTGGAAGGGAAGCTCAGTGGTGAGAACAGCTTGCCCACCAGCATCTGGGTAAGTGGTCATGGTGAGAATCTCCCCACGTGCTCACACGCCCTGGAAGAGCTTTCAAACCCAGTGTCTTGGGCTGGCAATGTGGCTCAAGTGGTAGAGCACCTGCTTAGGAAGTGCGAGGCCCCGAGTTCAAACCCCAATACTGCCAAAATAAATAAATAAATAAACCCCAGTGTCTTCAGATCTTTTGTGCATTGAAAACATTTTGTTGTTGCATTATAGGAGTTCTTTATATGGTTTAGACAAAGTTCCTTTCCCATACACGTGTGCAGGAACGCACGCATTTGTAGATGGCTTCTCCATTTTCCTAATGGTGCTGTTTTTGAAAAGGTTTAAAATTTTTATTTCTGATTTACTGTCTTTCTCTATGCTTAATGCTTTTTGTTTACTGTTTAAGAAATTTGCCCACCTAAAGCCTAGAAAGGAAAAGAAATAAAAGACATAAATATTGGAAAGGAAGAAGTAAAACCACCCAAAGGAAATGATTGTCTATGTGGAAGTTCTGGAGAACAAAACAAAAACCAAATCACCAAACTCTTATAACTAATAATTGAATCTAGCAAGATTGCAGGATAAAAGACCAATATGAAATTAGACAAGCAAAAAATAGAAAATAAATTTCAAAGACTACATGTGATAACACTTCACGCTGAATACTACAAGACGCTGCAGAGTGAAATTAAAGATGAGCCAAATAAATAAGGACACCAATTAGTTTACTGGCTTGTGAGATGTCAGTTCTCAGCTGGGCAAGGTACCTCATGCCTGTAATCTCATCTACTCAGGAGACAAAGATCAGGAGGATCTCAGTTCGAAGCCAGCCCAGGCAAATAGTTTACAAGCCCCTATCTTGAAAAAAACCTATCACAAAAAAGGGCTGGTGGAGTGGCTCAAGGTGAAGGCCCTGAGTTCAAACCCTAGTACACACACACACACACACACACACACACACACACACACACAGAGATATCAGTTCTCACTTAGTAGTTATAGGTTCAGTGTTATCTTTATCAATGTTCCAGTGAGCTCCTTCTTCTTCATCTTCTTTGTTCTTTTTTAGAACCTAACAAGTTTATTCTAACAGTTATATAGAAATAAAAAAAAATCTAAAGTAGGCAAACAATCTCAAAAAGAAACAAACTTGGAAGGCTTACTCTCCCTGACTTTAAGACTTATCATCAAGGTAGTAAGGTCCGCTTACCCAGGGAGATCAGGCAACAGAGCCAGAAACAGCCCTCAGCTGTGCAGGAAGTGGTTCGTGACAAGGGCACCAGGGAGTCAATGGGAAAATACAGTTTTTTCAACAAATTGTGCGATAAGATCTGAATAAACAAGTGAAAAAAAAAAAAGACTCGATCTGACTTTACACCATTGGTAAAAATTAAAGCTGACAGCGAAATTCCCTAAAGTATGTAATTAGCCCAAATAAAATTGAGAAAGAATGAAAAGCTGAGTCTACAAAGCGCCTAGAAGAAAATATTCTTTATTTTCCCAGAAGACTCAGTACCTAAATTCCACATGGAATCATCAGATATGTGCTTGGAAATTATCACATTATTGTTTAGAAAATATCCTCTGTAAGATGTTTTTTCCTCTTATGTGATTTCCATGTGAAAAATCTTCACACTTCCAAATGCCAGCCAAGCTTGTGGAACAGATCAGGAACTTCAGATCAAAGAACCGTACTTCCACATTTGTTGTAGCATCGTAAGTGTGCATGCATTATAAATTTATATTATCTTACCTCGTATTTATAGATATGCTATCTTAAGATACACTATCATCTTAAGCAGCCTCTGAAAATGCCAAGACAGCCCTGTGCACCTGCAGAGCACACACAGAGCCTCAAACTACCATGTCCAAGTGCTCAGGCCTTCTGGTAACCAAGTGCCTCTCCACGGCCTCCCATCCAAGGCTGACCAGCATCAATTAGAGAGAGACCGTTCCCTGCAGGAAACACCAAGTCTCTTCACACCCCAATTCTTACTGAAGGGAAGCAACAAAGGACCAGAGGAAGCAAAGGTGACTAATGTCTTCCACTCAATTGGAGTTTATCAAAATCTGTTGGGTTATACTTGTGTTTGAAGAGCCACCAGAGCAAGCCACGATTTCCCAGGTGACATCTGGTCACTCTGGCTCTCTTCAGCGAGAATCCTGTTAGGTCCATTCAGCCAGAATCTTCTGATTCTCCACCCACTAACCCCACGCTGTTTCTTGACTATAAATCCCACTTGCCTGTGCTGTATTTGGAGCTGAGCCCAGCCTTTCTCCCCCACCACAAGAGCTCATTGCAGTGGTCCCTGTATCTATGAAAAGAAAGTCTGTAACAGGAATTAGTGATTTTTTTCTTTAACACTGTTGGGTAGGATGAGCTATGATGAGACTTAGACAAGACTCCTTCCTAGTGAGAACACCAAATAATTTAGCAACATAGAGACTGCCTCAAAGCAAGCCCTCTGCCTGCAGGTTGTTTTGGTGAAGCCTAGTTCAGCTTTCTTGCAAATTAAAGTATTTAAAACTATACTTTGGAGGAGTGTTTGGGGTGTAAAAATATCACTGTGAAACCACTACCTTTATGAAGGAGATGACAGCTCCTTCTTGTGCTGCTGACGCAGCTAGTAGGAAGGCAGACAACAGGCACAGATGTAAACACGGGTACTGAATGTGTTGAGTGGTGCAGAATATAGAGGGACAGGGAGGTGGAGGCTGTCATCTGGACACAGGGGCCAGGACAGCCCTCTTTGAGAGGTATTTTGGCAGAAGTTTGCATGAAAGAAGGCAGTGAACTATGGGAGTTCTGGGCGTGAGAGGACTTCAAGCAGGGGGAGCATCAGGTGCAAAGGCCCTGAGATGAGAATGTGCTTGACATGTCTGAGGACCAGCAGAGGGCCAAAGCCAGCGAGTGAGGCCAGAGGACAGAACAGGGCAGGAGAAGATGGAGACAGATCCTAGTTAATGGGCAGAAGTCCCCAACTCACAAGCCACACTTTCAAGCTCTCAAAAAGCCTAAGAGGAGCCTGTTCCCACCTCAGGGCAGATGAAGACCTTGAGTGCAGCTGTTGCAAAGGAGTCACTGTGGGTTCAGCAGGAATGCAAAGGCCTCACCCAATAGCTGCAAGCAGACAAAACACCCACACACGAAGCCCCCGCCCAAGGGGTCTCTGAAAGGCCTTCCTGTGTCTGCTCCATCTCACCGTGAGCTTACAGGTAGCTCAGGAATACAGGCTGGCCCCACTGAGGGACAGACACCCTGGGCCGGTTCCCAGGGTCCAGCTCAGGCCTGGGGCTGACTATGCCCTGCTTGCTCCTCCAGGTCGTCTCCCTGGGCCTGCACTCACCGGGACATGCAGCAGCGCCTTGGCCTCCGCCTTCTTCATGCTGTTCCCCTCCAGGGGCAGACGCTCAATCTTCCCAGTCTGGGCAAAGAGTAAGTGGGTCCCCGGGGGCAGAGGGATCACAGCAGTAGGCACTGCAGGTCCCTGGTGAATAGGGGGGGCCACTGTACTCAGACCTAGGAGACAGGACAGGTCAATGAGTGAGGTCTGGAACACCAGAAATTCAGACTCACACATGTGCACATACAAACACACATGAATATACACATGCATGCACACACACAGTACACACCACACACCACACACCACACAGTGCTGTGTTCTATCTGGAAGCTCCAGAAGCAGAAAGCTTTCTGTCAGCCAGTGGGCATTTGTGAAGATAAAACACAGGGTAGAAGTCTAGCACTAGGGATCTAGTGACAAAAGGCCAGTCACTAGCTGAGCTGGAGCGGTGAACCAACGCAGCAGCAGCAGCCGCCCTGGAACCTGTGCCTGCAGGGTGTCTCGATCTAGTTGTCATCACTGGATGAGATGAGTGTGCCCAGCGTGTCCTGTCTGGGTCCACGGGATGTGGCAGCCTTGGCAAGCAGAAATGCCCCCTCTGGGCTCTCGAGGCCGGCTAGGAGTTCTTAATGCTGCCCTTGACTGTAGCTGGGTCCCTGCCTCCTTACAGAGGAGTCCCGAGAGGGAACACCAGCTTGTGCTACAGGACGGGAACACTGAGTGCCGCCCCACCAGCCCGCTGGGCACACACCTTCCTGGGCTTTTCTCTGGCTCATTAAAGACAGAGCTGGACTGGCCATCAGTGAGGCTGTTTCTCTAGTCTGGCTTGCCTAATGTGCCCAGCTGGTGACACACCAGTCTTGTCGACCTCTTTACTATGTCTGGCATCCTAAGCTGTACGGGTCCACCTGCCCCTCCCTGCCAGGGCTTTCGTGCCTCTGTCTTGGTGTGCATCTAGCAGCTGGTGACACTTTAAAATGAGTCCTTCTTCACACTGGCACCTGCTAACACCCTTCTGGACCTTCTGGGCTTCTTGGTGCCCATTACCAACACCCAGGCCCCTCAGCCTGGAGTCTGGTGTCCTCCTCTCCCTTCACCCCCTACACTGCCTCCCTTTTCTCTTCCCAGCTGACTCCTGCTCCCTGGATCTCAGTCTTGGCTGTCCCACCGCCCAGGCAACTGATCCTGGTCCTGCTCAACATCGGGGCCCATGTGCTGTCTTTCCTCAGTCCCCCACCCTGCACCAGCCAAGACACCTCCTTGGCACCCTGGTCACTGTCCACTCTCCCCCAAAGCTCCTCTCTCTACACTGCTCCTATTTGCCCCCTATCCTTCATCTTTTGGGGTTCTTACAGGGGAAGCGGTATCATGACTTTCCTCTTGGGTGTCCCCAGCGCCACAGCCCAGTTACTGTTGTCTGGGTAAATTAGTGACAATTGTAAGCAAACACTTGGCTGTGTCTTAACAGTTTTGCAAAAATACCTGGTAAAGGATCCATCTATGATTATCAGCGAAATTGAGAAGGGAGACTCAAAAGTTAGTTACATAGGCTTTTGATAATTTGTGACAATGACCAATGTCTACATTTGTGACAGAAGAAGAATTTAGAACTGGGAGCATCCCCAGGAGTGCTCTGCTCATCCCTCACGTGGAGGCGGATAAAGCTGAAGCCAGAAAGGTGTCTGTCCAGAGTCCCACTGCCCAACACAAAGCTTTCCAACCATGAGGATGAGGTTGGTCTAGACCCAGTGCAGAAACCTTTGTGGCTGTTTGCTCCTTAGATTTGAAAAGTGACCTGGGCACCTAAAGGTCACATGTTGAAAAGGTGAGAACAGGTTCCACTGCAGGAATATGCAAGGCTCTCGCAAAAGTCCCTGGAACCCCTGCCCTGTCCCATCCCCACGCAGCCCAAGGCCAGGCCTCCCGCATGCATCCTCTCCGCCATGGGCACACAGAACACACGTGTGTGCGGAGAAAAGGAGAAACCCCTAAGGGGACATGGGAGGTGCTAAGAGATGGGGCAGAGTAAAGGATGAGTGAGCAGACCCACAGGCAGGGCGGTGGCTGACACTGGCCATTCTGGTCCCCATGCCCTTCTCAGGCACAGGCCTGCACAGCTGCCATCACTTACAAGGGGGCCTCATCCCGGGCCTGGTCCTGGTGCCCTCCAGCTCACGGCCATCGCGGTCCACACACCAGCAGTAGCCGGTGCTGCTGTGGCATTGGAGGGGCGTGTAGTGTCCATGTTCATCACACTGGGGGACAAACAGCCCCAGCAGCCTGGGCTGCTGCCCGTCGGCCACCCCCACCGATCCAAGGATGTGCTCACGCTCCTGCTGGCACCGGGTTTTCTCCACCTCTGTTGGCGACAAGCAAAGGGGAGCATCAGCCAGGTTGTGTGTGGTGTGCACCTGCGGGCTGCAGACGCCTCCCCCGCCCCACGCCCTGCTGGGTTTCGTATTTAAAACATCATTATTATTTAATGGATTTAATTGTCAACATATCTGTGCTCTGTTGCCTAATCAGTTCTTGTTCTTAGTTTTAAAAATCTGAGGGAAAACTGGCATAGAATGAGCTATTTTAAAGTGAACAGTTCAGTAGCATGGTATGCCCAGTGTTTGTCACCGCTGCCTGTCCAGTCCTGAAGGACACCTCGAGCCCAGTAACAGCTCTCCTCACTGCCCTTCCTCCCAGCCTCTGGCAACCTCAATCTTCATCCTGCCTCTGGGGACTATCACTCCTTCAACAATCAGCTGAGATCATAAAAGACGTGGCCTGCTGAGTCTGGCTTCCCTCTCTTAGCAGAAAATCTCAAGGTTCATCCACATTGCAGCACCCCGGTCCTTCCTCCTCGTTGCTGCTGAGCAGTAGTGCACTGTTTGGCTGGACCACAGGGTTTTTTTAGTCATGAGTCCATTGATGGATACCATGGGTTTTGGCCCAAGAAATTTTAAGTGTTTCCTTTTTCTTTTTTTTGGTAGTGGTACTGAGGTTTGAACTCATGGCCTCGCACTTGCTGGGCACTTGAGCCACACCCTCAGCCCTTTTTTGCTTTACTTATTTTTCAGGGAGAGTCTCCCGGGTTTTGCCCAGGGCAGCTTCAGGCTGCGATCCTCCTATCCAGTTACATGTGGCCTCCCACAGGACTGGAAGCCAGCCCTGAGCAAAAGCCTGACACCCTATTTGAAAAACAAGCTAGCGTAAAAAGAGCTATAGATGTGGTTCAAGGGGTAGAGCGCTTTCCTAGCAAGCTGCAAGGCCCTGAGTTTAAATTCCAATATTGGAAAAAAAAAAAAAGGTTTGGCCTAGAATGAACAACTCCTAAACATGCAGCGTTGTAGCTGGTTCTACACTCACTGGAATCCAGCTATGACAAGGGCCAGGCCAGAGTGGTCACCTCTGCAGTGTTGACCACGCAGCGCGATGCAGGCATTGGTGGGAAGTCCCCATTCTCCATGCCACCACTGCTGGTGGCATGTCCCATGGCCTCTTCCTTCTAGGCCTTTCCATGCGCTGTTCATTTTGTGGACCTCCCCTCCTTCAGCTTTCCCTTTTCTGGTTGATCCTTCAACCATCAGCTGAGGCGTCTTGCAAGAACCCTTCTCAATCCCTCAAGGCTGGACCCAGTGCCGGATGTGAGCTCTTGGGGGTCTCAGCTCATACACACAGTTGCTCTCATTCCCCTGAGACCCGAGATCCGATGGGACTGTCCCTAGTCTGTCCTGTGACCCAACTCTAAGCTCTGAGAATGGGGACTGACTCTCCTCTGCCTTTACTGAGAAGTCCCTCCAGGCTGGGCACCCATGCTAATTTACAGGCCTGCCCTCTGTGAACCACAGCTTGGAGGGCAGTCTCGCCAGAGATGCCCAGGACACACAGGGCAGGGGCCAAGTACGTGTGCTTGCTTTGATGCCTAAAACTGTGGTGAAGGAGCTCTAGGGCAGAGCCAACTTTGCAAAGTAAATATTCTCAGTGTTGTGAACCATATGCTGGCTGTCACAACTACCCAAGTCTGGGTGTAGTGAGCAAACAGCCATGTTTAATACAGAAATGAATTGACATGGCTTTGTTCCAATAAAATTTTGTTTTGTTGTTTCGCTTTTTACAGTGCTAGGGCTTGAACTCAGGACCTACACCTTGAGCCACTCCATCAGCCCTTTTTTTGATGGGTTTCTTTTCAAGGTAGGGTCTCAAAAACTATTTGCCTGGGCTGGCTTTGAACTGTGATCCTCCTGATCTCTGCCTCCTGAGTAGCTAGGATTACAGGTGTGAGCTACCGGTGCCCGGCTTCCAATAAAAAAAAAAAGAAGCAGCAGGCCAGATTTGGGACCATAGTTGACAAGCTCATATTATGGGGAAATTATATTTATATATATTTGTATATGGATTAGTATATATTAATTAATGAAATACATTACAGTGACCTACAGTAATATATTATGTAGTCACAGAATTTTGTGTCTGAAAGCGTTTGATTGCAGCCTGCCACTTCTAGCGGAGCCAGGTGCTGACCAAGAGGCGCCTGGCTCTGCTGTGGAACAGAAACAACAGCTGGGAGGCGACAGTCTCCTTGAGAGTGGACTCTGCTTGTGGTAGCCCCCAACGTTACCCTGCTGGAAATTTAATCCCCGATGCAACAGTGCTGAGAGGTAGCACCTTCAAGAGGTGACTAGGTCATGAGAACTCCCTTCAGGAATGGATTAATACTGCTGTCATGGGAGTGGGTTCGTAATTAAAAGGATGAGTCTAGCCCCATGACCTCTCTCACGCGCTCATGTGACACCTTTTGCCGTGTCACGAGGCAGCAAGAAGGTCCTTGACAGTTGGTCCTTAGACTTACTTCCCAGCATCCAGAACCATGAACCAAAGAAATTTCTGCTCCTTATAAATTCCCAAGTCTCTGCTGTTCGGTTACAGCAGCAGAAAATGGACTAAGATCAGAATCCAGCACACAGAAGGAACTCGATTCTGCACTCCAGTGTTCATTTGTGACTCTACCTGCACAGGACATGTTTTTTTTTGGGGGCGGGAGTCGTACCAATGAGTGCTTAAAGTACCTTCTGTCTGTGTTGCAATCCTCCTAGTGGCCAGCTGAACACAACTGTTCCCTTGAAAAGAAGCAGTTAGCATGCCAGAAAAGTGTTTGTGTAACCTGGCAAGAAAAAACTGCATGCTTGTCTTTCTTCCCAGAGGATGATATAAAAAAATAAATAAATGAAATATGTGATGTAGAAAGAGCCAAACAAAGATATGAACAAGCCATCTGGTTAGAATAAAAATGTCAGGTTTTTGTATGTTGTTGGACATAAAATTTGTTTACTTCCTCAAAACCTTACTTTATTTAAAAAAAAAAAGAAGCAGCAGGCCAGATTTGGCCTTATAGGAACCATAGTTGTCAAGCCTGCTTTAGGGCATTACTCCTCACATTAAAGGGAGATTATATATATGTGTGTGTGTAGTAATATATACTGATTAATGAAGTACATTATAATCATCTACAATAACATTATATATTCACAGAATTTTGTTCAAGGTTTTAGAGTTTTTAAACTATTTGTCCCCATCCATGTATGTATTTCATTTAGTTCCCATGGTAACCCTGCGTGATAGGCGACTATGGTTTTTATACCAAATAAGAAAGCTAAAGTTCAAAGGGCCCTGGGGGGGCCTCCCCACGGGTGAGTGGCTTGCTCAAACTAGAATCCAGGTCTTTGGATTCCTAGTCTGGCCCTTGTGGCTGCTGGCCTTAACTTTGTATATCCATGTCCCCAGAGGCTGGGACAGCTCACACATAGTGACCACGCAATATCAACGCTGACATACACATTTCCTTAACACGCTCACCAGATGACCCGAGGACCCATAGCCTTCCTTCTCATCAACAGCTCTACTCTGCTGCTTTAAGAGTCAGGGTTACTGAATTTTATGTGGCTGACTTTATGTTAACAAAATCTCAAGCCATCCAGAACTGACAGTGAAACTTTTATGTGCTGTATTTTGAACTTCTATGAAGAAGAAGAAGAAGAAATCTCAACTCTGACTCAGGAAATAGAATTTCAAGAGCATTTATGGAAAGCTGTGACCTCAGTGGGTCTCCTGGGATGTTCCCCAGCCTGGTCAGCAGGCAGTGGGAGTAGCCTGGGGGGCTCCATGGGGGCCCCCTGCTGAGAACCTCAGAATTCCTGTGGAATTTTGCATCTAGGGCCTGGTGGATGGGGTCAGGAAGATACATTTCCTGGGTTTGCTTCTGGCTGGGAAAATGCTAACTCAGAGGTTACGAAGCCCTGACACTTCTTTGAGGAAAGGCAGGAAGTCTGGGATGGGGTCAGAGAGGGTGAGAGAATATGAAGTAGAGAGAAGGAAGGAGCTGGCACATTCTGATCTCTGGGTCTGTACTCCATTCCCTTGCCTTGATGAAATTTGTTTCCTTGACAAATAAATGGCCATTGCAGCCTCCGATAGCCTCCACAGAGTGCAGGGAGGGAGGCGTGCAAGAAACCCCAGGCCTCTCTGGAGAAGAGGTGATGGGGACACCTATGGGAGGAAGAGTCATTTCTTAGGTCACTTCTTGCAGAGTGGAGGGCCCCTCACGGGGACTGGCTATCTCTAGTGGCTGCACAGACTCCAAGCACTTCTGTGATACACGTCTCTGACAAGGCAGTGCAGGGGCATGAACACTGCCCCGTCCCTATAAGCCCTGAGACCTGAGTCTCATCTACTAGCTGCTTGATGGACTCCTGTTAGTCCAGGACTGCCACATTTCCAAGAGCAGGAATTTGCAATGTCAACCCAGCCTGTCTTTATCATGGGTCCCTAGAGGCTGCCTACAGACACCAATAGTAGTAACTAAGCCAAGCATTGGTGACTCACACCTGTGATCCTAGCTACTTGGAAGGCTGAGATTGGGAGGTTCACGGTTCAAGGCCAGCCCAGGCAAATAGTTAATGTGACCATATCTCTAAAATAACCAGAGCAAAATGAACTGGAGGTGTGGCCCAAGTGGTAGAGAACCTGCTTCACGAGCATGAAGCCCTGAGTTCAAACCCCAGTTCCACCCCACTCCCCCCCAAAAATAGTGATAATTCCAAGTTGTGAACTCTTCAAGCTGTCCCCAGTCCTCACCAGCCTGGGAAGGAAGGATGGTTGCCCAGGGGGGACAATGGTCAAGAAATGAGAAAAGAGCAAAGGATGAGGGGAGACAGGGCAGAAAGCAACCAGAAAGAGCAAGTGCCCTATAGTCTGTGTGCTGTCTCCTTTGCCACCGTGTGAAATGGCACCCTAACCTCACTCAGTCTCCTGCAGTGGTGTCTGCTCCATCCTGTCCTGAAACCCTATTGCTGTTGACTTCTCAAGTCACTG